ACCGGCACCTGTCCCTGTAGCACTGGCCGATCCCTCCTCGGGACCGGTCATTGCGACTCACGCCACTACACTCCCGTGCCCAGCTGCTCCTTCTGGTTCCCTGACCGGCCTCCACGTTCCTACGTTCTCTAGGAACCTGGTTGGTGTGGGCACCCTGGCGAGACAGCACGTCGGGGTCTGGGTTGAGCCTTCTGGTGACACCGCAGTCTGCGTCGACGGTGACACGTACGCCCCCTTGGCCACTTTTCGCCAGGAGCCGGGCTCTGGTCTGTACACCCTCCGCACCGACCCCCGTCAGGTTCCCCCGTCCCACCAGGTAGCCGGGTCCAGTCAGGTTGCTGTGTCAGGTGTAGTTGCTGCGTCGTGCTCGTGTCGGTCGCTTGCCCACCCCACTGTTCTGTGGCACCACCGGATGGGGCACCCGTCCCTTCCTCGTCTGCGCGCCATGTCCAGTCAGCGTCTTGTCTTAGGCCTCCCCCGAGTCCTCCCACCACTCCCGCCGTCCCCAGCTCCTCCGTGTGGTCCTTGTGTCCAGGGTCGGCTTCGCGCCACCCCCCACTCCTCCTCCCTTCGTCCGGCCACCGAGCCCTTCCAGACACTCCACTTAGACGTCTGGGGCCCCGCCTCCCGCCTTGGCCCTGAGCGGGAGAGTTTCTTTGACTCGTTGACGATTACTCTCGGTACACCACCGTGTTCCCCTTGGCGAAGAAGTCCGACGTGACTTCTACGCTGATCCGGTGGCTCCTCGCCACCGAGGGCACTCGTGGTCGTCGTGTCAGTTGTCTCCACTCCGACCGTGGGGGTGAGTTTCGCTCCGGCATTCTCGCCAGTTTCTGTGCTGAGCAGGGCATCACCCAGTCCTGGACTCTCCCAGACTCTCCACAGCAGAATAGGGTTGCTGAGCGCCGCTTAGGCCTGGTCATGGAGATCGCCCGCACCTCCATGATCCACGCCCGCGCGCCCCATTTTCTGTGGCCCTACGCGGCTCGGTACGCCGCTCACCAGCTGAACCTCTGGCCTCGCGTCTCTCGGCCAGGGGCTTCACCGACCAGTCTTTGGACAGGGTCCCCTGGTGTTGCGTCGAGGTTTAGTGTCTGGGGCTGCTTGGCTCTTGTCCGCGACACCTCTGCGGACAAGATCTCGCCTCGTGCCGTCCCCTGTGTCTTCCTTGGTTTCCCAGAGGGCTCCTCTGACTTCACCTTTTACCACCCACCCTCCCACCGGTTCTTTGACTCTCGTGACGTCCGTTTCGACGAGTCCGTCCCCTACTACGTCAGGTACCCCTCTCGAGGTCTCCCGGTTCCCCCCCCTCCCCTCTTCCTGGCTCCAGCTCCTCCTCCTCCCGCCCCTGCTCCTCCGGTACCCCCCCCTGGTCCTGCTCCGTCTGGTGTGTCCCACGCTACTCCCCCCCCCTCGGTACCCCCCCAGGTCTCTCCTCCTTCCCCACAGTCGTCCTCACAGCCTCCGCAGCAGCCGTCAGCGCTTCCTTTACCGGCCACTGCGGACTCTGAGGGTGTTGGTGCTCGGGGTGAGGGCTCTGGCGGTGCTCGCTCTGGGGGTGCTGGCGTTGGAGCTGTTCGTGCACCTACAGGAGCCGCCCGTTCTGGGGGTCTTGGCGCTGGCGCTGAGCGTGCACCTGCCGCGGCTGCCCGTTCCGAGGGTGCTGGAGCTGGTGGTGGTGCTGGAGCTGGTGGTGTTTCTGGAGCTGGAGAGTCTGAGGCTGGTGCTGGTGCCACTGGAGGCACCCCGACTGGGGGTGCGGGTCCACCTCCTACAGGTGCTAGTCGTGCTGCCGCAGGGGGTACACGCTCTGGGGGTTCTCAGCCGGGTGCTGTCGAGGGCGGAGCCGGTTCTTCTTCTTCGTCTCCTGACACCACTCCTCCTCCTCACCCCTACCTGACTCGACACCAGACCCGTCTTCGTCTTGAGCGTGAGGAGCAGCAGCGTTTGGAGCGTGAGAGGTTGGAGGTTCAGCAGCGGGTGGAGCGTGAGAGGCTGGAGTAGCAGCAGTAGCAGCAGCAGCAGCAGCAGCCGCCGCAGCAGCAGCAGCCGCCGCAGCAGCCGGAGCAGCCTCCGGCCTCTGTTACTGGCCTTCGGGCCCTTGGTCTCCCCTCCTCCTCTCCTCCTGTGTTCGGTCCGACGTTTCCTCCTCCGGACTCAGCTCCGGCTGTGTTCCCTCGTTCTCAGTCTCCTCCGTCTCCCGCTCCGTCTCCCACTCCTCTCTCCCACACTTGGGCCTCTCGTCCTCCTCGTGCTCGTCCCTCGTCACCTGTCCGTGACCTTCGTACCGTGTTGTTTCGTCCTAGTCCTCCTCGTTCTCCTCCGTCTGTTCTTCCTCGTCCTCCTGAGTCGTCCCTCACTGCCTCCCTGTCCACTCCGGTCACTGACTACTACCGCACGTACCGCCCCACTCTCTCTCGTGTTCTCGCCTCTCTTGTTACAGACCCTCGTGCCTCTCCTTCCTCCGTCGCGGTCCTCACTGCCGCTGTCACAGACTTTACTGCTACGCGTCGCCTTGACTACGCCACTCGCGTTGTGGCGGCTCCTCCTGTCCGTCCTCTGTCCGCCGGGGGTGAGTTTGCCCTTGGCTGTGCCGTCCTAGAGGATAGACAGTTTGAGCTAGAGTTCCTGGCAGCCGCTTCACCTCATCTCTGTGCCATGCTGCTCGCTCCTGAGGGAGACCCCGACGCTCCTGACATACCTACTCCTCGCACTTACGCTGAGGCAGTGTCAGGGCCTTGGGCCTCTCAGTGGAGAGCTGCCATGGACGCAGAGATGGCCTCCTACAGGTCCACAGGCACTTACGTTGACGAGGTTCCCCCCCCAGGGGCGAACATTGTTGACGGCATGTGGATCTTCAAGGTGAAGCGGCCGCCGGGATCTCCTCCAGTCTTCAAGGCACGCTACGTGGCTAGAGGTTTCAGTCAGCGTGAGGGAGTTGACTTCTTTCAGACCTTTGCGCCCACCCCGAAGATGACCACTCTTCGGGTGTTACTGCACGTAGCAGCGCAGAGAGACTACGAGCTACACTCTCTCGACTTCTCCACTGCCTTCTTGCAGGGTAGCCTACACGAGGAGATCTGGCTGCGTCGTCCTCCGGGCTTCACTGGCACTTTCCCGCCTGGGACCCAGTGGAGCCTCAGACGACCGGTCTACGGTCTCCGCCAGGCACCCCGTGAGTGGCACGACACTCTCCGCTCTACTCTGTCCGACCTTGGGTTTGAGCCGTCTTCCGCCGACCCGTCGCTGTTTGTTCGTCGTGGGCACACACATTTCTTTGTTCTTGTCTACGTTGACGACCTGGTTTTTGCCACAGCCGACACAGTTGCACTGGCGGAGGTGAAGTCCGAACTGCAGAAGAGACACACCTGCACTGACCTTGGGGAACTGCGCCGCTACCTTGGCCTGCAGATCTCCAGGGACAGAGCCGCTCGCACCATCACTCTGACTCAGTCACACATGGTGCAGCAGGTCCTTCAACGGTTCGGGCTTCAGCACTCCTCTCCTCCTCCCACCCCTCTTGCTGTAGACCACAGACTCACTGGGCCTTTTCCTGACGAGCCGTTCGAGCCCAGTGGTCCCTACGCAGAGTTGGTGGGCTGCCTCATGTACCTGATGACGTGCACTCGCCCGGACCTCGCCTTCCCTCTTAGCATCCTTTCTCGCTTTGTTGCGACAGGGAGACACCGTCCTGTTCACTGGGCGGCAGCTAAGAGGGTGGCGAAGTACCTCGGCGCGACATCAGACATGGGGCTTGTACTTGGAGGGACACAGCCAGTTGTACTCACCGGTCACTGCGACTCCTCCTACGCCGACGACGTTGAGTCACAGAGGTCTACACAGGGTTACTGTTTCAGCCTGGGCTCTGGAGCTGTTTCGTGGAGGTCTACTCGGTCCTCCTCTGTTGCGACTTCTACCGCAGAGGCCGAGATCTACGCTGGAGCCCTCGCTGCACAGGAGCTACGCTGGTTGACCTTCTTGCTCACTGACCTTGGTGAGCGGCCGAGCTCTGCACCGACCTTGTTTGCTGACAACAAGGCGATGATTCTCCTGTGTCGTGAGCCTCGACTGGAGAGCAGGGTGAAGCATATCGACGTCAGGTACTTCCTCCTTCGAGAGTTGCAGAGACGTGGACAGGCACGTCTGGACTTCGTGGCCTCCGAGGCCAACACTGCAGACATCTTCACCAAGGCTCTTCAGCCTTGTGACCACCGCCGGTTTTGTCTGCAGTTAGGCCTTGTTGAGACTGGGTCTAGTAGACTGCAGTAGTGAGTTCTTGCCTCTTGCTTGTTTGTACCATATATATATTAGCTTGTACACTCTTGAACTGGCCTTGTGGCCCCTTGTTTGTGCTCAGAATGTGTGGTGACGTTGAGATCCACCCTGAGCTTTGTTTTCTCGCTTGCTTGTGACTGGTCTTGTGACCTTAGGTTGTGTTCTGTTACTTGGCATTCCCCACTTAGGCTATGGGGGTGTGTCAAATGTTATAGCCCTTAGTGGGTCATACTATATGGGGTACAAACAATTAGGGTTAGGTACTTGTACCCCAACTCAATCAATGCAAGCCATTCCGCTGTTCTCAGTTACTAAGATTTCCATCCCCCACCAGCTGCTCTAATGGCTGGCTCCCGTTTCTCTTGACCCTTTGCACCTACCTCTAACATCTATATGCATCCCACAGCCTATCCAGACCACGTTCATGTGATTCAAATATCTCAATGCAGGTGGGCACAAGTGCCAAAACATGTGGAGTAGTCCAGTGTACCCTCTAGTTAGAGGTATGGGCATTCTAACCTACCAGTAGGTATCTATTCTATTACTTCTTTCCTGCCAATGACGGTTCGCGAAGCATGTTCGCGTACATCATATCTACCCACGCGTCCGGTACACCTGGCAAGCACCAATGCGTGCAGTCCCCGGAAAACGGGGACTCGCCGTTCCCACTTGGCGAACCAGGGCCGGTCGAAGGTCTTCTTTTGAACCAGGGTCCCTGATGCGCGTCAGGCCGCATCGCGCTCAGGCTGGTAACCTGGAGGAATCGTAACGGCGAACCTAGCAGCGCAGTTTTCTGCGTCGTCATGTACGCTTCGGACGTTGGAAGCGATAACGAGTAATCCTTTATCGCGAGCTGTTCGGACATGGGTTTCACTGCTCCGCATGCGCCAAACCAGGCAGGTTTCCCCCCAACGGAATTACCCTGGTAAACTCCTTTTTGCGGGCTGCCCGCGCCTCCGTGGTGCGGCGAGAACGAAATAAAATACGGCACGCCGCCGTAATTCGAAGTTTTGATGAAATTGCTGAGCGTGTTGAGAGCCCACGCATGCGCGTCGAGATTCGAGAGGTTCTTGGGCGAGTTATTCACGTAGAAGATGTTCGGCTGCTTGCGGCGCGGGACGTTCTGCTGCCACCAGACGCCCGACGCGAACACCGCCATGGCGTATTCTGGGAGGATCTTCGCGACCGTCGGATGGATCTTGTCCACGTGGACGTCGTAGCCGTGGCCGCCCTTCGCGTTCGCGGTCTTGGCGCCGCGCGTGATCGCGTAGACGAGGTAGGGCGAGAAGAGGTGTTCGATGGAGATCCCCATGCGGGGGAAGCGGACCCCCTTGACGCTGAACACGCCCGCCGTGTTGCGCATGTAGGGCTGGGGAAGCGTAAGGGGAGGTGGGGAGACGGAGCGAAGTGCCAGCGGGGAGAGGAGAATGGAGGAATGGGGGGAAACGGGGGGGGAGGGTGGGGGGGTAGAATGAACGCGTGCGAGATTTAGAATAAGGAATGTGGGGGCGAAGGGGGGAGGGAGGGGGGAGGCAAGGAGGAGGGAGTGGGGAGGGAGTGAGAGGCGAATAAGATTTGTCAGCGAAATTCGAGGAGCGTTTTTCTCTCTCCTGAGGTCCGTGACGGTGACGGTGATTTCCCCTTGACAGCTCACCTCGCCTTTGAAGCCGCCGATGTGGATGGCGCAGAGTAGCGCCTCGTAGAAGTTGGACATCATCGAGTCGCCCACCAGCAGCACTTTCTGCGCCAAGCGCGACGGAGACGGGGGGAGAGCAGGGGAAAAGGGGGGAGAGCAGGGGATACGGAAGGGAATGGGGGTGTGAGTTGCGCAAAGCAGCCGCGCGTAGAAGTTGGACATCATCGAGTCGCCCACCAGCAGCACTTTCTGCGCCACGAGCGACAAGTGGAGACGACGAAGGAGGGGCGTGAGAGGTGTGCAGCGGCGAAAAAAACAACAGCTTTCTCGACAAACCTTTTTGAGAAGCAGATGCCGCGTCGTACCTTTTGCTTGAGCATGAATTTAAAGCCCGAGGGGCTGAAGTAGGAGTACATGCACTGCTTGGGCTGCCAGCGGTACCACTGGAACCGCATGTCCGCGCGCCCGTTGCGCTCGCACGCGAAATCCGACCGCACGTAAGGGCACGAGTTGGGCTTCCCTGGAAGCGACGTGTACCGTGGAAATCCCTTGGTCCCCTTCCGCCACTCCCCGGTAGTGAAGTCGCATTTCGCGTTCCGGACTGGAGGGGGAAAGGGATGGCGGAGCTGGCGGCGGGTGAGGCGGGGATCGGTTGAAGCGGAAGAATCTGGGGATTGGGAGTGCGTTGTGCGAGAGGAAAGAGTTGTGTAAGCACGGCAACAGTCTTCGAAATGCGTAACTCTTCTCTCGTACTAAATGCCTTTCCTCCAGTGACGATGACTCACTGGGATGACGTGTTGAGGACTGGATATTCTTGAGGCGCTAGTGCTGCTCCCAGAACAGCGAGCTGCGCGAACAACGATGTTGTTGACACGTCATCACACATCACTCAAAGGTCACCTCATACAACGATGTGTGATGACGTGTCAACGACGACTGACCTTGAGGCGTTATTGTTGCTCCTGCAACGGCGAACTGCGCGAACACTCCCACGACCGCGATGACGGCGATGAAGGTGGACATCGCTACTGAGCAACCCCGTTTCGCCCCCGCTAATGCAATCTTTCGGTGGTCGTTATAACCTCCCATCTTCGACCGCATGCGCGCACTGATCAGACACAGATCCAAACTGTGGGGCTTCCCAAACAAATCAACGCAGGTTCCAGCAGCGAAGGGCTTCGTTATCCCTGTGAAGGCTGCTGAAAGAGCATGCCTCCTTCTATAAATCGAACAAGACTGAGAGAGAGGGGCGGGACGCCGCTAGCAGCGTCGAGGGAATCAACTGGTTATGGCGAATGACATTCGCCGAGTGGTCTGGACGGCTGCTAAGTCCTGACTAGAGCGTGGCAGCCGGGATGGTTGAAACTAGTCCTGCTTCGACTGTATTGAAACTAGGGTTTAGGAATGATCGACAGAGACAAGTGGAGGCCACCCTTCGGGTTCCTCGGTCCTCGGGTCGGCTTTTTGGTTTCCCACTAGTGACGCGCGAGGCTGCTTGAGATTTGAGTGATCTAGGGCCTTGACTAGGCTCGATCACACACGCAGCGGCGACATGAGAATCTGGTGGCTGTGGTTCAAAGGAACCGCTGACAGCGGCGATGGGCGAGCAACCCTAGCGTGCAATGCGGCGCCTCAAAAGGAGTCGCGGATCGGGAGGGAATGTGGGGGCCGAAGGTCGAGATTCGAAGCTCTAGTAGAGAGTGTTGTTATCGGGCACGAAACTCCGAAAGAAATTCACCAACACCAAGATTGACCAACAAATGGAGATAAAGTATCCACAGGCTTGGATCTTTTGTGGCAGCAGAAGGATCAGTGAGTTTAGTGCGAGATGGCGGAGCCAGCTCAACCGGGCTGAGGTGATTCGTGCAGACTTGCAATCCATGCGTTTGTCGGTAGAAGGGCTGCAGCTTTCGACTGGAGTGGTTGTTGCCATGCTTTCTTTGGCGTGGCGAGCAGGGGAATGGGATGGCAGGTGACGAAGAAACTGTGATTGCCTGAATTCCGTCATTCGGCCATTGCCGGTTCCTGCTGGTTCAACATTTCGAGCCGCGGATACGAACCGCGAATCTGCTGCACATGGATCTCTGCGCATGGCGGTGCGAGTGATGCTGGCGAAAGCCGACGTGGGTTCAAGCGCGAAGAGGCTGCCGTGCAAACGCAGGATTGCTGGGTGGGAAATACAGTAACGTGGCTGAGGTCAGAGTCGAAAGGGTACTGCTGGTAGAGACCAAATTCTGGTACACTAGCATTCAACCTAACAATATCAATGAAGCTTAGTTTAGGTCCCATATACAAAAGAAGATAAGGAATTACTCACCCATGCATAGCAATCTCTGGTACTTCATCACATCGGGTATTTTACCATGGGATGAGTCACATTCGTACACGTGGGGTCTTAGCCTTGGTCCTGACAAACCTCGCATGCCGATTACAAGCATGCACTTCCCATGCGCAATGTGACCTTGTTTGGCTAGCATGTCGACCAGGTTGAGGTGAGAAAATGTGCCTAAAATTTTCACTCACATATTTCCCCGAGACAGAAATACATACTGGATCCAGATATCAGAAGTACAAGCAGTTCGTGACAACGGAAACAGCAAACGGTTCGAGCAGCAGGCGGGTCAAAAAGTAAAAGACCACTCCCAACCCAATCGAGATGGGCAGCGCAGGTAATGCGCGCTTCTGTAACGCCAAAAGCACAAGGGTAGCGCCCAGCCCTGCAATGATTGCAAGGTAGCATGCATACACTGTCATTAAATCGTACATCGCAGCCCTCCCCACCAGAACACCGTAAAATATAAAATCCCCCATTCCAAGCTTGATGGCACTTGGGAGGTCCGGGCCGAAGCTGCTGCTCGGCTCCAGGCTCGGGCTCGGCAGATAGTGAATATCATCTGGGTCGTTGGAGGCATGTGCAAGCACCTCTCGGTTCGGTTGCGTGCCGAACCTATCAGCTTTGGCAGCCTGCCCTCTGCCGTGGCTGCTAGTAGCAGCAGTGGTCGTGGATGCACCTGCAGCTGTGGTAACAGCGGCTCTAGCAGCAGCAACAGCAGCAGCAGCAAAACGAGAAGAACCATCATCACCACCATCATCACCACCATCATCATCACCAGCAGCAGCACCAGCTCCAACAACACCAGCACTAACACAGAGCAGCAGCAGCAGCAGCAGCAGAAGAAGCAGCAGCAGCAGCAGCAGCACCAGCAGAGGCACCAGCACCACCAACACCTTGTTCTGGATCCTCCACATGAACCGAGGACAAGTCAGCTGCCCACCCCCCACTGCCCTCACCATCCCCTCTGCTCCCCCACCCACCAGACCCAAGCACACTAAGCAGCCGACTGCTCCCCTCAGCAACAGAGTGTGAAAACCCATCTGTTCTGCCTGGCACCGCTCCGCACCCAACTGCACCCCCACTCACCTCAAACCCTCTCATCTGCCCGTCCACCACACCAGGCAAACCGTCCATTCCCACACTCTGCCCCTCGATCCCCGCAATCTGCCCCTCAAGACCCGCTCTCATCCGAATGCCGCCGCTCACTGCCCCCATGCTCCACTCCGGTCCAAGCGATACCGCCCGGGAGATCGTGCCGCCCCGCCACCGCGCCCTCTCTCTCTCCCTCTCCCTCTCGCGCAGGTGCTGGCTGGCAACCTCTCTGAGCCGTGCTATTTCCCGCTCCACCTCCTCCTCCCCCCTCTCTGCTGTCTCCTCTCCACCCACCAACAAACCTGCACCTGTGGTTGCTCCCGTTGCTTCCGCTCCTCCTGCTTCTCCTGTTGTTGCTGCTGCTATTGCTCCTACTCCTGCTGCTCCCGCTGCTCCCCCTGCTGCTCCCGCTGCTCCCACTGATCCTGCTCCTGCCCCGCCTTCTCCCTCCTGCACTCCTACCACACTCCCTCCTTCCCCTACTCTACTCCCCCTCACCTCCACACACTCCCCATGAGCCAAACTCACTCGAACCATAGGAGCCACTGCTTCCTCCTCCCCACTTCCCCCCACTCCCCCCACCACCCCTCCTCTCCCTCTCCCTCCCCCTTCCACCAACCCGCCCTGCTTGGGAGATGGCATGGAAACCGTTCGCCCCACCCTCCCAACCCTAGAGCTACCTGCCCGCACACCCTCCCCTCCCCGCCGCCCTCTGCTGCTGCCCGGGCGGCTCCCGCTACCTGACGGCGGATCCACCGACCCGTTATAAGGCACCTCGTTAAGCAGCACTCCGCTTCCCCCGCGATTCAAGCCTGCTGCATGCTCGCTCCACTCACCACTCCTCCTCTGCTGCCCCTCCCCTCCTCTCTCTCCTCTTCTTCTACCTCCTCTTGCACCATCCGGCGGGATTCCCATACCTCGACTTAACAGAGGCATCCCTTCACTCTCTCCCTCCTCCCTCTCACCCTCGGCTTCTACCCCCCTCCCCCTCCTCCCCTCCCCTCTCTCTCCTTCCAACCTCTCCTCTTCCCTTTGACCTCCTGTGAAGCGCAGAGCAGAAGCGGTAGCAGCAGCTGCAGCAGCAGCAAAGGCACTCAGCTGTCCAGCGAACGTGCTTGTGCCTGCACCGCCGCCACCACCACTAGCAGCACCGATTGCACCACTGGCAATGCTCCCCTGCTGCTGCAACCGCCGCTCGAATTGGCCTCGCACACGCGTTCTCCTTGACCCACCAGCACCGCTCCCCACCACACCACCCGGCATTTCATCCCCACCCCCGATTCCTCCTCCTCCTCCATCCGCCCGTCCCAGGGCTGTGGTAGGGACTTGAGTGCTACCAGCGCCAGCTGTGCTGTTTGCAGGCTGGAAAGTGGAGTCGGATGGAGAGGGGTTGGATGCGGTGGAGGGAGATAGAGATGGCGGGAAGGAGGACGAGGAGGAGGAGGTGGAGGAGGAGGAGAGTGGGGGGTGGCCGGGCCAGGTTGGCACGGCGGGATGAGAGTGAGGGGGGAGTGGGAGAGAGGGATTGGAGGGGAGCGTGTGATTGGAGGAGGGGAGAGGGCGAGTGGGAGTGAGAAGACGGGGAGGAGGGCGAAGAGGAGGAGGAGGGGCGAAGGGCATGGGTGGGGGCCGGGCTTCGTAGATGAGTGCTGGGATGTCCTCGTCTCGCTCCATGGCTATGTCTAGTAGCAGCTTGAGCGGGCCCACTGAGGGATGAAAGGGAAGGGAGAGGGAAGGGGAGGGGCGAAGGTGAAAATGCCCTTGTCTTACCCAACGGCGAAGGTGAAGATGCCCTTGTCTTACCCAACGGCGAAGGTGAAGATGCCCTCGTCTTACCCAACGGCAATGTCTAGGAGCAGGTTGAGGGGGCCCACTGGTACACGTACCAGGTGTGTATCGCTCAAGCAAATTCTGCGATCAATGAAGATGGTACATTTGCAAACGAAGCAGTAAGTTGTCGACGTAAGGGTGAATTTACCACAGCTTAACGATGAGCACCATCCACGTGGTCCACTCTGGTAGGCTGGAGAACCAGAAGCAGCTGGGATTGCCTGGAATCAGGCAGTCACACACCATACCTGACCTTGGGTTGGGGAGGCACGCACCTGGCGTGAGCACGGCGTAGAGATCATAAAGTGACATGGCGATGAGCACCATCCACGTGGTCCATTCTGGTAGGCTGGAGAACCAGAAGGCGCTGGGATGGGGACTGCCTGGGGTGGCATATACCTGACGAGTCCTGGGATGGGACCATACCTGGCGTGAGCACAGCGTAGAGATCGTAGAGTGACATGGCAATGAGCACCATCCACGTGGTCCATTCTGGTAGGCTGGAGAACCAAAAGGCGACGATGGCGCCGACGGCAACGAGGTAGGACTGGGTGAGGAAGATGGGCATGCGGCAGAAGAAGACTGCCAGGACGCCCACCACTGAGAGGTTGTACACGAGCAGAGAAAAGGTGATGATGTCTATTGGGATGGAGAAGCGCTGAGGGGGGGTTGGGGAGGGGAAACGGTTGGGAGGGATGGGAGGACGTGAGCAGAGAGGTGAAAAGGCAGGAAGTTGAAGAGCCCGGTCAGTGGCCAGCGTCCACTAAGGCTCCGACGGCACTGACGGCAACGAGGTAGGTGTGAGTGAGGAAGATGGGCATGCGGCAGAAGAAGACAGCAAGCACGCCCACCACTGAGAGGTTGTAGACCAGAATGGTGAAAGTTATGATGTCTATTGGGATGGAGAAGCGCTGAAGGAGGGAGGCGGGGGTAGGAGGAGCAGGGGAAAGAGACAGAGAGAGAGAGAGGATGGTAGGGATGGGGTGGAGAGAGGAGGAAACGGAGGGGGTTGAAGAAACAGATGGGGGCAGTGGCATCACTGACGGCGACGAGGTAGGACTGGGTGAGGAAGATGGGCATGCGGCAGAAGAAGACTGCCAGCACGGCAACCACTGAGAGGTTGTAGAGGAGGAAAGAGAAGGTGATGATGTCTATTGGAATGGAGAAGCGCTGGGGGAGGGGAGGCAGGGGGAGGGGGAGGGGAAGAGAGAGGATGAGAGAGAGGATGGGATTTGAGCCGGACACAGAAGTGGATGATACGAAGAACAAGGAGGAAGAACAATAGGAAGCAGGAAGGAGGAAAGAAAGATGTGGACCACTGGCAGATAACAGCGTCTCTCACCTGAATGAGCTGCTCTGCGAGAGTGCGGCCCAGCCCAGCAACGATGACGAATCCCGAGAAGCCCATGTAGCCCCAGATGCAGCGCGCGCGCACACCCGCAGTAGAACAGCCCCACCAGCATCACCCCACCCCACCAGCCTAACCCCATGCAGCCTCACCTGTATAAGCTGCACTGCGAGAGTGCCGCCCAGTCCAGCGAATATGACGAATCCGGAGAAGCCCATGTAGCCCCAGATGCAGCGCGCACACCCGCAGTAGAACAGCCCCACGAGCACGAACGTGGCTGCCGTCACCAGCGCCACCATCGCTGCTGCGTTTAACAGAGCGGCCCACAGCTGCTGCAAGGGCGCGTCAGTGCTGCCGTGGGGGAGGAGGAGGTGGGCAAAAAACGAGGGTACGCGGTGATTGGCTGTCACCTGACTGACCAGCCATACCAGCAGCACCATCCCCACGCATGGGCCAGGCCAGGGAGGGCATGCGCAGCGCAGCACACGGAATTTGAGGCGGCTCAAACGGCAGCACCATCCCCATGCATGGGCCAGGCCAGGGCCAGCATGCACAGCACATGGCGTGACATTGTAACGAGGTGACTCTTGACTCTTACTCCTGACTCTTGAAATTCTCAAAAGCTATGCAGATGGACACGGGAACCAAGATCGCCACTATCTCGTGGTTGGGGACGAAAGGGGGGTACCTCTCGCAAGCGACGCGACGTGCGAGTCCACGCGCGTACCTCTCTTCTTCTTGGTACACGAGTGTCGCAATGTGGGAGCAGAGGCGGAGGCGCCGTGTGAGCCGAGCGCGAGCACGAGTGCGACGTGGAGCCGCATACAGATTGACACGGGCGTCACGACACGATCGCCACTATCTCCTGCACCGAATTGACTTCTAAGTCGACTCAGGAGTCATACGCGTCACGGGCGTCACGACACAATTGCCATTATCTCCTACAACCAACGCGCATACCTCTCTTCCTGGTACACCAGCGTCGCAATGGTGGGCGTGGTGACGGAGGCGCCGTGCGGGGTGAGTGCGAGCACGAGCGCGACGACAAGCAGCATGCAGATGGACACGGGCGTCACGATCGCCACTATCTCCTGCCCCAGCGTCTCCAGCAACCCGCCCTCCTCGCCGAACCTCTCGCCGAACCTCCCGCCGGACCTCTCGCCGGACCTCTCGCCGGGCCTCTCACCGGGCCTCTCACCGAGCCTCTCGCCGAGCCTCGCGGTTCCAGTGTCTCTGCTGCTGTGAGCCGGAACGTAGTCGTGTCGCCTGACTTCTCGCCGGGCTTGCGAGTGAGGTGGACGATCCCTAGTGTCGCACGCGCGATCCCTGCTGTCGCATGGTCGGTCGCTGGCGTTGCCGAGGATTCGCGGGCCGGTCAGCGGCTCCGTCTCGAGAGACTCCTCCTCTTGGCGCGAAAGCAGCGACTGCGACGCGCATTCTGAATCGGAGATCTCAATTTCGTGTCGTGGACTTCTCTGATTAGCCTCGGCAATCTCATGACGTGGATTGGGACGGGAACGGTTCGCAGAGGCTGCAGATGACAATGTTGTTGCTGCTGATGATGTCGATGCTGCTGTTGCTCTTCCTCCTCCTTCTCCACCTCCTCCTCCTCCTCCCAGCGCTCCTGCTCCTGCTGCTCCTTGACTCGTCCTCGCTGCTTCGGAATCATCCGGCGTTTTTGAATCCCCCATCACCAAGGCACTGTGCTGGCCTCTCTACCTCTCGGGAACAGCCAATCGACCGTTCGTACTGTTCCGCGGGTTCCGCCACGCTCTTAGCTCGCTCAGCCACGGGTGCTTAATATCCACACGTGGCTCGCGGCGAAGAAGCTCCAGTCTATCTGGAGCCTACTAACTAACTGGAACCTACTAGGTCAACCTGCATGGCTGAAAATGTCAGACGACAGGGCGGAGATCCCGAGGTTTCAATTTGGCTGGACAAATTTCAGGGCTGGGAGATGCTGGAGGTCTGTGGCGAAGAAGGGTGCCGAACAAGGGTGGCGACGAAGGGTGGCGAACGTTGAAGTTCAGACCCTACCCTTGCGAAGTACCAGCGTATGTTACAACAAACCTAATTCACAAAGCTCTGTTCCCCTAGAAAGTGCCAATGAACCTGCATCCATGAAAATGTAATATACGACTGCCTAATGTACATCAACCTAGGGTCAGGAGTGCTTGAAAGCAGAATGCAGCAGGCTCTACAACCTACAAATTCATTCCCCTGCCCAACAGAGGCTTATTTCATGGAATCTCAACTTCATGCTAGCTTAGGAAGAACATAACGGATGAATAGGTAGATAGCTGGGGCTGTGAAGATGTAGCTATCTGTGCGGTCCAAAATGCCTCCATGGCCCGGAATGAGAGAGCCGGCATCTTTCACTCCGGCCTGGCGCTTGAGAGCCGACTCAAACAGGTCACCAAAAAGCGATGAAGCGAAGACAATCACACCGAGCACCGCCGCACTGCAGAGTGGAAAAGAGCGATTGGGAGCAATGTGTTCCAATAGGAAAGGGGGGAGGGGAGGGGGAGGGCGGAGAGCTTGAGGAATCACATTGCAAAACAATCAGCACTAAGCAGTATGCATTAGGCAGGAAATCAAGTTGCAGATGTGATCATGAACCAACCAACCATCTATGAAAAAGCGGGACAGCACCTGATAGGTGTGGCTGGCCAGCTGAAGGCACGGGAGAGGAGGACAGACACAGAGACGGAAGAGGCCAGCCCAAACAATGCCCCTTCAACTGTCTTCTTGGGGCTCAGCTCTGCCAGTTACCAGCGCAGGAGGAGGAATGGGATGGGGGAGCATGAAGGATGCACATGGCACATGAGGGATGGGGGAGCACGAAGGACAGCGGGAGTGAATGGTGATGGCTGACAAATGCGGGATGGTGGGATGTGGTATAGGCGGTACAGTACCATGTGGGATAAGACAAAAGCTAGGGCAGGGTCATGAGCAGGTCAGGGTAGCAGATGAGCACAGGGTGATGGTGGAAACGAGAGACGAGAGCGACAGACAGGGTGATGGTGGAGACAGCAGGTTCACAATGATAAGCGCAAGGTTCAGAAACCAGCATTTGTGATCCATGTTGTTTTCAGATGAAAAGATCGTTTCATTTCCCATTCTCCTTGTCGATTCCAAACCTTACGGTCCACAGACCTGCTTCACACCACCCACCCTCACCTAACCACACCCACCACTGAGAGGCGTCTTGCCAAAGGTCTTGCCGCCCAGATACGCCCCGGTGTCGGCAGCAATGACCCCCGCAAAGCCCATGAAGACAGCAACGAGCCCCGTCGTCCACAGCGCCGGCCCTCCCAGCAGGGCGGGCCACACCCGCGCCACTGGGGATGACGTTGTGGCTGTAGTCGCCAGCCCACACCGCAGCTGAAATGGTGGAGGGAATGCCGGGGAAGAGAGAGGGAGAGAAGAGTGAAGGGGGAGGGGCACGAGAGAGGAGGGCACAAGCTCTCCAAGCAGGGCGGGCCACACCCGCGCTACTGGGGATGACGTGGTGGCTGTAGTCGCCAGCCCACACCGCAGCTGAAATGGTGGAGGGAATGCCGGGGAAGAGAGAGGGAGAGAAGAGTGAAGGGGGAGGGGCACGAGAGAGGAGGGCACAAGCTCTCCAAGCAGGGCGGGCCACACCCGCGCTACTGGGGATGACGTGGTGGCTGTAGTCGCCAGCCCACACCGCAGTTGGGGGGAGGGAGGGAGGGCGGAAGTGGGGGGACAGGGTGAGAGGGACGCAATATTTAGAAAGGGAAAGGTACAATCCGCAAAGGGGGGCTCATTCGCGCCACTGGCGACAACGTCGTTGGGTGGGGTGGGGGGGAAAGAGGGTTGAAGTGGGGGAAGAGGGAGGAGGGAGGCAAGATTTGAAGGGGGAGAGGAATAAGAGAGGAAAGCCCAATATGATGAACACAAGCCACACGGTCCTCCGCAGCGATGGCCACAGCCTCGCCACTGTCAAACGCCGTTGTGACGGTAGACGACAGACCATACAACAATCAAAGGGGGGCGAGAGGAGGAGAAGAACGGAGGTGGAGATGGGGTTGGGCCGGGAAGGATGAGGGATTGCTGAGACAGCAACCACATGGTATACAGCTCACCGTGACCCAGAAGCTGGGCAGGAAGCCGCAGTAGAAGAGCCCGCAGACGTAGCCCCTGAACTGGCTCCAGCGAGGGCGCGTGGGCTGAGTCAGCAGCATTACTAGCAGCAGGTGATTTTTTAGTCAACTCAGATATCACCTCCGAGTAATAGCTCACAGTGACCCAGAAGCTGGGCAGGAAGCCGCAGTAGAAGAGCCCGCAGATGTACCCCGTGAACTGGCTCCAACGAGGCCGCTTGGGCTGAGTCAGCAGCATGGCCAACAGCAGCCCGCCAGCGAATTTCGCTACAGGAGTCAGAAGCCCACCGTTCACCCTGCCATGAAGGATCGATACGTGCGGAGGTTAAGAGAGTTGAGTTCAACAACAGATTTTGCCTTGCTTTGACATCTCAGAGGCATTGCAGGAGGAAGGTGTTTGTGAGGCAAATCAGGGCCTCCGCAAACCGCTGGTCCTGTCGACACAGCTGTTCACCAGGGCAAGGACAGGTTCAGCTGGTTGTTTCGCACAAGGAAAACTCGTACGCACATGGCGACTCATGGAGCCAGCAACGCATCACTTGCCGAGAAAACGCTGCGCCTTATTGCGCATACGTGTCGAAAAACCATTCGCTCCTTTCCCCAACCCCTTGTCTTGCCACCGTTATTCGAATAAAAACAAGCTTCTAAACCCCGTTAAACCCGACGATTGACCCCCCCCCCCCCCCCGCCCCATCGACACCCTCTTTTCCAACACCTAACCGATTGGAACCCGGCCTTTGCATCTCATGATTATGGCTCAAGTCGCAAGACAAGCGGCTCGCGAGTTCAGCTGACCATGTGAAAAGCACAGCCATCGCCACAAAGCGCACCCTCACAGAAAATACTAACATGACCACCATATCGATTCTCATTTCTACTATTTTGGTCTTGTTTCCTTTTTTTTATTATTATAATTTTCGGAAAAAAATTGCGCACATGAGAAAGGCGACAGTCTTACATGGCGATGAGCGGCATGATGGCGCAACCGATGCATCCAATGTAGACCGACAGCCGCGAAGGAACGGCCACGTTGTTCAGCTTCGCCCGCGCGTTAATCAGTTCAAAATACTCCGCAGTACCGAGCAGCACCACTCCCGTCAGAAGGACCGTGAACAGCCAACTCCCCATCAACAGCCCGCCGAAGGCCAGCCCTCCAGCCAGCGAGCCAAATTTCACCCGCCGCCAGAATTTTCCCTGAGCCACCTGCTCCTGCTGCTGCTGCTGCTCCTGCTGCTGCGGCTGTGGTTGCAACTGCTCCTGCTGGGCTTGCGCTTGGGATGGAGCAGCACTGCCAGACGAGGTTGAGGAATCGCCTGAATCGGACGAAGCTCCCCGGCTGCTGCTGCTGCTGGAGGCAGTTTGATCGGAGTATTGCGACCTGGAGTAAAGCGGGGAAGAACTGATTCTGCCAGAAGCCCCGTGCGCGTCTGAGGCTGCAGTGACACCTCGGAGCGATCGCCTTTTTAGAGTGCTATTCATTATTTCTGTGTCCAATCTCCTAAGAGTCAATCTGTGTAAGCTTCCCAACATTGTCGAATCTCTTGTGACGTGGTTGTAACGTGAGCAACGTGCTGAACTGGCAGAATCGTCGCATTTGTTTAAACTAGTTAATTGACGAACCGTTGAAGCAAATTTCACATGGTTGGATATAATATGGCTATCGCAAAACGTTCCGTTCCCGCTGACAGGAAAGGGGGGAGTCGCGAGGCTCGATCGACATAACCCTAAGCCCGTCTGCATGTTGTCAGTAAGTGCTAACTCTGTCACTTGCTACTGAAAGGCGCCCAGACGTTGCCCTGGTGGTCTAAAATTTTCCCAAGTGAACAAGACTAAAAAGGGGCTGTATCTCGACTGCAGAGGGGCAATATCTCGACCAGTGAATACCAGTGCACAGCCACCCAGAAAAGCCGGAATCAGATCCAAATACAACCAAGCTCGGGCTCTAGAAGGCTATGTTACCTGGTTGATCTACAGACACCAATAGGGCGGGGTGTGACTGCAAAGCAGGGGGTGTGAAGCTCCAACCAGGTCAGAAATAGGCGGGTGTGAAGCTGAAGGGGGTGTTGCAGCTTGCTGGTTGGTGGATCAAGTCTCATCACGAATGGAGGCATGCGATGGAAGATGAGGGTGCTTGTTGGGCTCCGGGTAACCATGTGTACCACAATGAACGGCAGGGGACCACTCACGAGCTCGTTCCTATCCAATTTCGTAATTTGACAGTGTGACTGACGTGGATAGAACCAACCTGGGGCTTGGTGGGTTGTCGATTTGGCAAAGCTGTGTCATCGCAACGTCAGAGTCGACGAAAAAGTGGTTGCATCAATTTCGTCACCCGAGCTTCGCGGGATGCAACTCATCCACATTTTTTTATGCAGACTTTCCGGGATGACTTTGCCGAATATCTTTAGCGTGGCATTTCGAGGTGTCTGTTATAGCGGAACAATGCTGACGTGTGAACTAATGGAAGAGATCGCAGCTCAACTGCCACTGCGTCGGTCAGATGTGGTTGGCGCGAATGGCCATAAGCAGCGCCGAAGTCAGTCTTTCCCACGGTGGACAATTGTGTGCTGCAAAGTTTAATATGTTGCCACATAGGCAGCAAACCTCCCACATCGGAACGATCGGCGCTACCAGAGATTGCCACATAAGCAAACCTTCGAGCCACATATCGGTGGACCTGCTTGGTTGGCGCTGTTGACTGGATAACAGCCAGCTCAAACCTATCCACCAACCACACGAACTCTGATCGTGGCACAGAACGCACTTCCCTTGCTACCCCTCACGGAACCAGCTATAACACCCAGGGATTTCGTTGTCTCAGCAATCAGTGCAAGTTTCCATACCGACTTTTCTTCTCCTTTTCCCCCCAGAAAAGGAAAATGGCCTCCATCACCTCGTCTGCCGTTGTTGCCCCTGTTGCCTTCAAGGCAACTGTGGAAGCCTCTGCTGCTTCCTCCAAGTCTGTGTCCTTCTCCGGACTGAAGGCTGGTGTTGCCGCCCCCAATGGCTTCGCCGCCAAGACTGTCTCCAACGGCAGCCGTGTGTCCTGCATGAAGGTCAGTGCCATATTGCGAAGTATATCTTCCAGCAGTGTGTACGGTTTGCTCGACTTCGTGCTTACTCCTTCGTCTGTTTTCGTTACTTCGTAGTGGACCTTTCTGGTGCCTTTCTCACGTCGCTTTTGTAATGAATGTGCAGGTGTGGAACCCCATCGGCAACCCCAGGTTCGAGACCCTGTCTTACCTTCCCGCTCTCACCGATGACATGATCATCAAGGAGATCCGCTACATGCTCAAGAACGGCTGGATCCCCGCTATTGAGTTCGACCCCAGCGGTGTCGTGTACAGGGAAAACAACAGGGGCCCCGGTTACTATGATGGCCGCTACTGGACCATGTGGAAGCTGCCCCTCTTCGGATGCACTGATGCCTCCCAGGTGCTCAGGGAGATCAACGAGTGCAAGTCTTCCTACCCTGGTTGCTTCATCCGTGTTCTTGGCTTCGACAACGTCAAGCAGGTCCAGTGCATGTCCTTCATTGTCCACAAGCCCTAAACTGGGTTCTATTATTTGTCGACGTAGCTTTTCAATATAAATACTTGATTCCATAATCTGCTTGCTGAGTGGGCGAAAGACCTTCCTGAGTTTTAGATACCATGCAAAGCATCAGAAATCCAGGATGTTCGTCCACGTAAGACAGTCGAGGGCGTATCACTACATAACCTGCTGGGGTCGGCGTCGTTGTGGTAATCAGCAGACTTTACCTGACGTAACATGTCGCTTGGTAATGGGCGCGTCTAATCGGTACCCCGTTGAAGGTGATCTTACACTTCGATGCAGAGGGGAGGATTGCCCTAGATACTACCTTGATCACAATGTAACTCGCCTCAGTGACTCTCATGCCTAGCTGAGTGTATCCACTCCAGGCTGAGGCACTTGCAACCCCTCTGACAAATACATAGGCGCAAGCGGTCTGACCCATGCTCACCCTTTTGATGTAACAGTCTGCCGCGCTGAGCCATTTCAGGATTTAATGACTCAAAGGGGTTTTGAATGTTTACCTGTCCGGTTTAATTCTAATTTTATTGTCTTCACTCTCATTGTTGGCAAATTTACATGACTAGCGATGCAAATTATCCCGCAAATTTACCATTCTCTGAAGGGAAGCTAGACCAAGTTGTATGACTCTGAGTGCTTTCTTAAGATGGCATGAATGGTCAAGTTGGTGCTCATTTATGCTGAGATCAGAAGTTGATCGTAGCCCAGGATCTACCCAGGAAGGTTCGCACGTAGTGAGATAGTTTGGTGGGCCCTTGACCTCAATAGCAGAGTGAATGTAAAATGCTTTGAGATGAATAGAACATGCAAATACTGTCAGAATGAAGAATGGATGATGCATTGATGTTGATTTGGGTACATATAGCTAACCCTAAGTTTTGTACCCCCTAAGACAAACCTCACTATAGGCTACAACATTTGACACACCCCCATAGCCTAAGTGAGGGGTGTCTAGCAGAATCAAAAGAGTACGGTCACAAGACCAGTCCAAGAAACGAAGCTCAGGGTGGATCACAACGTCACCACACAGTCCGAGCACAAACAACAGTGGCCACAAGGCCAGTCCAAGAAGTAACAGAGGTATATAGAAAGCAAAGTAAACAGTACACTCAAGTCTAAGCAACACGAGGGTTTAGTGTCAACAAGGCCTAACTGCACACAGCACCTCTGGTGGTCACAAGGCGGAAGCGCCTTGGTGAAGATGTCTGCAGTGTTGGCCTCGGACTCCACAAACTCAAAGCGAGCCTGTCCACGCCTCTGCAACTCTCGCAGAAGAAAGTACCTGACGTGAATGTGCTTCACTCTGCTCTCCAGTCGTGGCTCTCGACAAAGGAGAATAGACGCCTTGTTGTCAGTGAACAAGGTCGGTGCAGAGCTCGGCCGCTCACCAAGGTCGGTGAGCAAGAAGGTCAACCAACGCAGCTCCTGTGCCGCCATGGCACCAGCGTAGATCTCAGCCTCAGCTGTAGAGGTCGAGACCGAAGAGGAGCGCGTGGACCGCCAGGAAACAGCTCCAGAACCCAGGCTGAAACAGTACCCCTGAGTAGACCTGTGAGTCTCAGCGTCGTCAGCGTAAGAGGAGTCACAGTGACCAGTAAGTACGACAGACTGCTGCCCTCCAAGAACTAGCCCCACGCCTGACGTCGTCGCTAGGTACTTCGCCACCCTCACAGCTGCTGTCCAGTGAACAGGACGGTGTCTCCCTGGCGCAACAAAGCGCGCAAGAACGCTGAGAGGGAAGGCGAGGTCCGGGCGAGTACAAGTCATCAGGTACATGAGGCAACCCACAAGCTCAGCGTAGGGACCACTAGGCTCGAACGGCTCGTCAGGAAAGGGTCCAGTGAGTCTGTGGTCAACAGCAAGAGGTGTGCGCTGTACTGTGGAGTGCTGAAGCCCGAACCGCTGAAGGACCTGCTGCACCATGTGCGACTGTGAAAGTGTAATGGTGCGAGCAGCTCTGTCCCTGGTGATCTGCAGGCCAAGGTAGTGGCGCAGCTCACCAAGATCAGTGCAGGTGTGTCTCTTCTGCAGTTCGGACTTCACGTGTGCCAAAGCAACCCTGTCAGGGGTGGCGAAAACAAGGTCGTCAACGTAGACCAGAACAAAGAAAGGTGTGGGGCCACGACGAACGAACAGCGACGGGTCAGCAGAAGACGGCTGGAACCCAAGGTCAGACAGGGTAGAACGCAGGGTGTCGTGCCACTCACGAGGAGCCTGACGAAGACCGTAAACCGGTCGCCTCAGCCTCCACTGGGTCCCAGGAGGGAAAGAGCCAGTGAAGGCAGAGGGACGACGCAACCAGACCTCCTCGTGAAGACTGCCCTGAAGGAAAGCAGTAGAGAAGTCGAGAGAGTGTAACTCGTAGTCTCTCTGTGCTGCTACGTGTAGTAACACCCGAAGAGTGGTCATCTTCGGGGTGGGCGCGAAGGTCTGAAAGAAGTCAACTCCCTCGCGCTGACTGAAACCTCTAGCCACGTAGCGCGCCTTGAAGACCGGAGGAGATCCCGGTGGCCGCTTCACCCTGTAGATCCACATGCCGTCGACTACGTTCGCCCCCGGAGGGGGAACCTCATCGACGTAGGTGCCTGTGGATCTGTAGGAGGCCATCTCTGCGTCCATGGCAGCTCTCCACTGAGAGGCCCAAGGCCCTGACACTGCCTCAGCGTAGGTGCGAGGAGTCGGAATGTCAAGGGCGTCGGGGTCACCCTCGGGGGCGAGGAGCATGGCACAGAGATGAGGGGAAGCGGCCGCCAGGAACTCTAGCTCAAACTGCCTGTCCTCTAGGGCGTCACAGCCAAGGGCAGACACACCCCCGACGGCCAGAGGACTGGAAGGAGGAGCAGCCACAAGACCGGTGGCGAAGTCAAGGCGGCGGGTAGAGGCAAAGTCAGTGACTGCGGCAGTAAGAGCGGACACAGAGGACACAGAGGCACGAGGGTGAGTAACAAGCGAGGCGAGAACACGAGAGAGAACAG